TACCGACACTGTCAGGCGAAACGTCGGCCCTCTCTGCAACGCGCGCGGCGTTCTTCCGTATAGCGGATTTATGGATTCGAGCCGCGGAAGCTTACGTATCCAACGCATGAGATGGTGTTGTTCCCCACGGGGACTGTCGTAACGGTAGAGTTGGCGGGCGCTCACCGTAGTCCTTGGCGCGCATGTTGGAGGGCGCCGCCATGTCCATGCCCACGACGCCGTCGTCTCGGAAGCGGTCGCACAGGCTGAGGATGTCGGCGGCGATGCCCATGCCGTTGAGCACGCACAGGATGCTGCGCGCCTTGATGCCCTCGGAAGCCTCCGCGCGGGCGAAGCCGCGGTTCACCGCGCGCACCACGTCACTCAGCTCTGCAACACGCCCCTCCCCCTCTTAGGGCCTCGCCTCCACGCCGCGCACGTTCGAAATTTAAGGACACTCATCAACTGTATTGAGAAACAAATGGCTCGAATTTGGGGGGTGGAGGACAGATTCAAAATTGAATTTCGAACATTTTTAGTTATGCCCAACCAACTGTTCCACACTTATAAATCATATTTTTTCAAACCGATCGTACACTTTAAAGAGAAAAAGTGAAGATATTTTCCAGGTTTCACGTGAAGTTAAAATATGAAACGAAAGGTAAACTAGATCTTACTGCTGACTCATTTATCAACTTTGAGGTCAAAAGCATCTAATATGATAGTTATGCGTGACTCATACTTCATCAACACATACGAGTCCATGTCACATTGAGTTGCTGCACTTTTCCGACCGAAAGAAGGTCGGACACTATTTCGAGGTAGCCCATGTCTTTGGTACCTCAGTGTACAATTGCAATTTCAATGAAAGAAAACATTTTAAAGGATTTTTTAATCGATAAGCAACACATACATTTTGAATCCATGCCAAATTGAGTTGCTGCAATTTTCCGGGCAAAAGAAGGTCCGACACGATATTTCGAGGTAGCCCATGTCTTTGGTACCTCAGTGTATAATTTCAATTAAAGAAAACGTTTTAAAGGATTTTTAATCAATAAGCAACTCATACATTTTGAGTCCATGTCACATTGAATTGCTGCAATTTCCCGGGCAAAACAAGGTCCGACACGATGAGAGAGATACAGTGGAAAGCTGTAATTTTATTTTTGGTATCAAATGCGTTTAAATGCTGGACACAAGTGTAGACGTCAGGGTGGGCGAGAGTGATAGATAAAGCGCCATGTTTTCGCGGTCCATACTTAATGTTAAGAACTTTTTGGGACAATGCCAGATTTTTTCTCCTTTTTTTTACTTTCTTTCTTTATCAAATTTTATCTTAAATTTTGTTTGGGAAATTTTACCGCAATACTGTCTGCTAATAATTTCATTCCATTTATGTGCAGTGTTAATTACGCATGTTTAATGTGCTTTTTTTAGAATACATTGATTTTTTTGTGAATGTATGTATTTTTCCTTAGTATGTCTGGTATTTTCCTGTATCGAGGCCAACGCACAGGTACTCCACAGTGAGAAGAGCGGTTAACTTCCCTGCGGTGCGTCGGAGACGGGAAGTCCACGGCCTCAACATGACGCGTCCTCGACGGCCCACGCGCTTTGGTAAAACAAAAACCAACGTCGCAGAATACTTACATATTTGCGGTTAAAAACCTACTCCCATTCCTGTTGGGCGTGCTGTCCACAATACAACGCATGTTAATCGCAAGGAGTAGCCCAGTTTATAAGTTCATGCCCCGAGAGGAGGTAATCGTATGACCTCCTATCGTGCTGAAAATAAAGGGCCCACGTGTGGAAATTTTTCTGAATTATGTGCTTTGAAGTCCGTCGTTTCGGCCGACAACGTAATAATTTATTTTTTGCCTAAATTCATTAGTCTTTTACTATATAGTTATGAAACTAATGGATTCGTTCCCGACACCCATGACAGTGGTGCCTTGGGCAGAAATTGTCTGCAATCTAAATGTCGCGCGTTCAGCCTCCGAAATCTACGCGAAGATTGCCTGGCTCACGACTAAAACGCATCGGGCGGCACAGGCAAATGGGGTAGGTGTCTGGCCAAGGCGTAAATCGAACAGGCCAGCGCCACGATACGAAAGCGGAGCGAAACAGGGGCGAAATACAGGACAAATTTTGGCAAGGGGAAATTTAAAATTGTTTCGTTCAATGTGTGATTTACAGGAATTTTGTAAAATGTCGCTAGCTACATTCAGCTCATGCTCAAGCGCAAAAATTTTTTTTTCAAAGTTTCGTTGACAAGTTTTAAATTAATAGTTACTGGAAAAAAACTGGGGGGTGGGGGATTTCCGCTCATTTCTCTCCGTGGTATCCGTGCCTGAGTGAAAGTAGTGGAGTATCTAGTGGATCGGGCGCGAACAATACTTGTTTATTGGCTATTAATAATTGGGCTATTGTTGGCTACTATAATTGATTATTATAATTGGCTACCACTGGCAAAGCCGCCAATTGTGGCCAAAATAAATATATTATTTAATATTATATTGATTATATTAATTTATATTATTATATTATTATATTATTATATTATTAAACTTATTATATTACTTATTTTATTATATTTATTATACTTAATTAAATTATTTTTTTATACTTATTATATTATTATTTATTATACTTATTATATTATTATATTATTATATTATTATATTAATCATATTATGCTAGAAGTGAATTATGTCTGCAGTGACATCACTGCCCTGCAAGAGGCAAGCCTACCGACACTGTCAGGCGAAACGTCGGCCCTCTCTGCAACGCGCGCGGCGTTCTTCCGTATAGCGGATTTATGGATTCGAGCGCGGAATGCTTACGTATCCAACGCATGAGATGGTGTTTGTTCCCACGGGGACTGTCCCGTAACACGGTCAGACGTTGGCGCGGCGCTCACCGTAGTCCTTGGCGCGCAATGGTGGAGGCGCCGCATGTCATGCCCACCGACGCGTCGTCTTCGGAGCGGTCGCACAGGCTGAGGATGTACGCCGACGATGCCATCGCCGTTGGAGCACGCACAGGATGCTGCGCGCCTTGATGCCCGAAGCCTGCCGCGCGGGCGAAGCGCGGTTTCACCGCTGCGCACCAGTCACTCAGCTCTGCAACACTGCCCTCCCCCTCTTAGGGCCTCGCTCGCACGCCAGCACGTTCGAAATTTAAGGACACTCGTCAACTGTAATTGAGAAAAAATGGCTCGAATTTTGGGGGTGGAGGACCAAGATTCAAAAATTGAATTTCGAAGCATTTTTAGTTATGCCAACCAACTGTTCACCACTTAATAAATCATATTTTTTCAAATCGATCGCACACTTTTAAAAAGAAACAATGTGAAGATATTTTTCAGGTTTTCACGTGAAGTTAAATACTGAAAGGAAGTAAACTAGATCTTACTCCTGACTCATTTAATCAAGTTTGAGGTCAAAGCTATCTAAATATGAATAGTTATCGTCGCTCATACTTCATCAACACATACGAGTCCATGTCAACATTGAGTTTGCTGCACTTTTCCGAGCGAAAGAAGGGTTCCGACAGCTTATTTCGAGGTTAGCGCCATGTTCTTTGTACCTCAGTGTAACAATTTCAATTTTCAATGAAAGCAACATTTTAAGAGGATTTTTAACTACAATAAGCCTAGC